TTTCTTTCAAGTTAGCCATTTAGGATAGCAACAGTAGACTCCAGGTCCCATAAAACAGGCACAGAGAACAGCACATTTATAGTTTTAGGAAGAAAACCCTTCAAAATACTAAAGAACTGACGTTTTATAGATAGATATGGGCTTACACATTAAACACTAACTTCTACACTCTTTGACCATTCAGGGACAATTATTATAATTCAAGGACATCGATTATTATACTGTGGTCTAAAACAATGACGTCCTATTCAGACATGTGAAATTGTTGTTTGTAACTGTAAAGACCTTAAAAATTCTGTTTCTTGTGCTCCTGTATGTTTTCTCGTGTTTACGTAACTAAAAAAAAAAAAAAAAAATTGGAATATTTTTGTATTACTTTGCTAGGGCGGCCATAACAAAGTTCCACAGGCTGGGTGAATTAAAATAAATCCATTTTCTCACAGGTTTGGAGGCTGAAAGTCCAAGATCAAGGTGTCTGTAGGTCTGGTTTCCTCCGAGGCCCGTCTCCTCGGTTTGCAGAGGGCCACCTTCTCGTTGTGTCTGCATTTTAACGTCTTCACCTCTAAAAGGCCCGTCTCTAAACAGTCATGTTATGAAGTACCAAGGTTAGAACTTCGACATATGAATTTTGGAGAGACACAATTCGACCCATAACGGCCTCCTACCCTGTGACAGTAGGCAAGCTCACGCTCTTGACTCAGACACACCGGATTCCTACTGAGGCCATGTCACTTCTAGCTATGTGACCTAGGCAAAAAAGTCACTCAATCTAAACTTCAGTGTCAGCCTCTGTAAAGTGCCGATGATGACACCTACACCTTATTAGTCCTTGTAGCCCATGTCAACACTGCCCGGCACACTAATGTGTTCGATAAGCATTTTTTTTTTAAGTATTTCATTTTTCTGATTTTTAAATCACTTGTCTTTTCATCATCTTTCGCTTGCCTGCCTGTAGCTGTGCCTTTCCTTCTCTAATCTGCTAGGGGCTTCAAACCAAATCATTAAACCTGGCAGAATTGAATGTAACGGCTCCAGATTGAGAGCGAAGCCTCCCTGGAAAGCAAAGACTGGGACTTGAGAGCTCTCTGCTGGCTCTCACAGTCCGTTTGCTTGTCTGTGGTGGAATTTCTTTCTTTGTCATTTCTGTTCCAGATACGATACAGTATTTACCACACGTATCAGATAAGGTAATGCCAATGTGAAGTGTAGCTTTGTGACCGTTTAAAAAAAATAAGGCTGTTTCATCAATCTGACCAATAACTATGACATCCTAGGATGAACAACCATTTGTTCTGGAAGCGGCCGTGCGTGGGAGTGCAGAATTTAAATGTTGCAGGCCACCTGTAAAACAACACGAGTCAGTCTGAGAGCTAAAGTGTCTTACAGGACGTTTTCCAAAACGAAGTTAAGTGTCTAGAACTCCTCTGACTTCGAGCTCCTCCCAAGTATTACCCTAAAGCAGGGGTCAGCAAACTTTCCTGCAAAAGGCAAGATCGTAAATGTTTCAGGTTTTATGGCCACATGGTTCTGTCACAATTACTCAACGCTGCCATTGTAGCAGAAAAGTGACCATAAATGAAAGAGAAATAAACGGCTGTGGCTGTAGAACAATACAATTTTCTGTGGACACTAAAATTTGACTTTCGTAAAACTTTAATGTGTTGGGGAATATCATTTTTCTTCTGATCTTTTTTTTTTTTCTTTTTCCCAGCCACATGAAGACATAACAACCATTCTTAGCTCGGGCCACATAAAAACAGGTGACGTGTCAGAGTTGGCTCAGAAGCCATAGTTTGCCCACTTGGATTCGATTCGAAAGTTCAATAAGTATTTGTTATTGGTAAGAACTTATTTCTCCTACTGAAAATGATTTGAAAGCCAAGGATCACCCCAGCACTCCCATTATGGTGTCCCACCTTCTCTCTTTGAAAACTACCAACAGTGTGGGAGCTCCCTCCCCAAATAAATCAAAGGCCAGTGTACAACAAGCTGAATTAAGTTCCTTTTATGAGCACTTTAAATAAGAGTTTCAGAACATCTCCTCATAAACGGGAGTACGACAGCATCCTGAGGAAAGGCATCATGACTCCCAGTGACAGAAACAGGGACTGAGCTGGCCCCACAGTTACCAAGTAGCAAAACGCAGCAGCAGTTTTACATTCATATGCGCACAAAACCTCATGACACAGCCTTGCTCAGGGGGATGAACAAAGCAGCAAACTGACAGTAACTGACTTAAGAATGAATGAGATCGCTCGAAGTTTTATACAGCTACTAAAGACAACGTTATAAATACTATTTCTTATTCCCCAAGTGTCACCTAGACGCTATTTCCTTAATCCTTGAAAAACAAAAATCACAGTCTAAAAGTCCTGTGGGAAATACCTCGGTCTATAACACCTCATCCTATGTTCATACAGCCCTTGACCCTGCAAAGTAGAGTGGGGTCAAACTCTTTCCTCCGCCCCATACGGTTCCTACGTGGATGTGGCCTTATCCTTTGCAACCAAGAAGTAAAGAGCCATTAAACTGTTTGCTGGAAATAATTCAGTGTCTTTAGCAGAGCAGAGGATGAAGAGCATGTTGCGGAATTACCGACCAGAGGCTTCTTCCAAACAGACCTCGAAGACTTCACCCAGTTCCTTCCAGAAATGGAAGTGTGTGTGTCCGGGAGGAGGAGATCCTGACATAACGCATTCGGGCTCCTGTACAACAATGACGACCCCCCAGAACAGCACCTCTGGAACATCCACTGTTCCTATCTTGGGCACCTATTTTGAACAAGACTGTACGGATTGACCAGGTGACAATTATCTCAGCGATCTGCCATTGACAGAGCTAAAAGATAAAGACAAAAAACAAACAAACAAAAAATGACAGCAGGTCTAATATCTACCTGAAAGAGAAGTATGAACCACAGTTCCAATTCATTTCAGTTGTCTGGTACTTTTCCAGAAGATATTTTTCTGGAAATGACGTACAGTAGCTTTACTGTAAAAATTGGCTGATCCTCTACCCCCAAACCAGCGTTTTGATAACGTATGGAACATCAAGTGTGTCCGATAACGGGTCGGTACAAAACTAATAAAAGAATAGCTTTGATTTAGGATAGAATTCTGGATTCTGTTTGAATAACAAATTCAATTCTATTCTATCAATGACAAAATCGCATTGATTTGCTAATTTTACAAACCAAGAGGCGCTTTCTTCCTCCATTACCCTCACGTGTCCCGTCCACCCGAGTTCCTAAATGAACTCTTGTTCTGCATGAACAGACTTTCTTAGGACTACAATGCAACTTGAATACCAATAGGGAGACACTATCCCCACTTTCTTTAAAACCAGAAACTACCGTTTTCCCCATTTTAAAAAGGGGAGGGGCTGGAATCTGGAAAATAATTGCGTATACAAGATGTAGACTCGTGTTTAGTTAGGTGTACGTGGCGCTGAGACCACACGCGAGCTGCGTCCGCAGTGGGGAATCCCACGCGGGAACAGCAAACACGTCCTCTTCCTCCCAACGTTCTTATTCCCGTCCTATCTGTAAAACGCCATTACTCTGCGAGTGCTGAAAGTTATCAGCCTCCGCGACGCTTCCCCAACACTGCCACCCAGTCGCAGACCTTCTGTAGCCGGTGGAAACACTTCTGCAGAGAATGAGTGATTCTCAATTTAGCACAAAAGGCAAGGCTGGGTGACTTCTGAGTGACCCGAGGGCCAGAGTCAGGTACAGACAATGCAGGCAGGACTGGTAGAACGAACCTGAACAGTGTTGGCAAAGCTAAAAAGCCAGGTAACAGGTCTGTCTTGTTTAAGGCTATGTTTCGGTTTAACACACATTAAAAACTATCGCTATACAAGCTAGACTTCTGCTTCTGTTTATTTCGGGGCAAATGCAAGTCTGTTCAGTAATTCACCCCAGAGTTCCCATCAGGGTTTTACAGGATCTAAGAGGGTAGTGCGCTGTCTACTCATTACCGAACGATTACCGAGATAATCAACTGGCTTTAGCCCAAGAGGATTAAAACAAACAAACCGGGGGAGGTGGGAAGGGTGGGGCGAGGGGGAGAGTGGGAGTAACAAAGTGGATTTACCTGTAATGGTGAGGGGGCAGGGTGCAAAGACTTCCTGGCAGGCAAATCACAAGGCCCAGATCCCAGGACTACACCGGTGACTAGGAAGTGTGTGCCCAGGTGCGTGCACGCCAAGATGGATTGTTCAAAGACCTGATCTCAGGCACAGAAAGAAGGGACAGCGGCGAACGCTGAGACACTTTCAGGGTCCGTGGACCAACTTAAAACATCTCCACCCAGGTGCACGCGCCTCGCCGGGCCGCTGGGAGAATCCAGCCCCGCGCATCCCTCTGGCGCGGTGACGGGCCCTGGGGCGCAGGACGGTCCTCCCCGGCCCCCCAGGACGGGTCCCCCCAGCCTCCCAGGCCCGTCCCGGTCCGCGCGCGGCCCGCTGGGTGTGCGGCGAGGGAAGCGCGTTTCGAAGTTTAAGGGCGGCCTCGCGCACCTGAAGTTGGAAAAATCTGCTGAATCAAGGTGCCCCCTTTTCGCGAGGGTAACGGGCGATCGGACGCCCCCTCCCTCAGCCCCCCTCCTGCTCTGGAAAGAAACCGGACCGGCCTGTGCGCTCAGAGGTCACCCGCGCGGAGTGATGTCACCCGCTACCCCCAAAGCGGGGCCCCCCAAGACAGAGAACAGCCGAAATGCCTCTGCCTCGTCAAAGGGGGAGGCGCCCCAGGGAAGGTGACCCTTCAACGTGCTACCCCGCGCGCCCGCGGC